TGAATATATGAATGTTTGAATGAAATACAATATCTAAAAATATTTTCTATTTTATTGTCTAATTTATTAGATTTGAATTCACATTTAATAAAGCATTACTGCACATGAAAAATTACAAAAAAACTGTACAGAATTAATATGTGATTCAAGTTTTTAATATCTTGCATATCTAGAATAGCTTAAGCATACCTGAATAAAAATATTTTGGAATGAGAGCGTGACATCCTCCACCCCATCTTTGGCTTTTCTTGCAGGCAGGGCTACAAACAGATACAGGCACTTCACTAAAGCACCAGCCAGTCCAGCGTCAATTGCAGCATTCATTCCCTGTCAAAAACAGCTATTATCAATGAGCCCATTCCACTGAAACAATATTGTCATACTGGCTTTGGATTTAGTCTGATATAAATGGCACAACAAATCAAGACTTAATAAGTACTTAGAAAAGTGTCTGAGTACATGAAGTGTTTGAGCATATCTTAGATTTGTATTTCTTTGAATCTGAAGTAACCTCTCACGTTTCCACTTTTTGGGAGAAAAATCATGATGCTCCTTTTGATCAACAGTACTGGAATAACTTGGATAAATTTAGTTACAAAAGAATCAAACTTGGGTCTTTTGTATTATATTAACATATTCATTTATCAACTTCATATGTGCTATGTCACATAAAGACTGTACGAAAATAAAACATAACCCAGCGGTTCCCAATTCCAGTCCTGGCAACCCCATGCTCTACACACCTGACCCAGCCGATGAGGACCTTGTTCATATGTCTATGAATTGAATCAGGGGTGCTCACTGAAGAAAAAAGCTGTGTATTATATTCTAATTTTGTAATGTAAGCTTCTTACTAAGCACTTGATATTGTGCCTCATGTGATGCGAAATGAACCCTTGTTTACGCATGACTATATAAATTAGGGGTCCAAGCACTCAACGTGTTGGATTCCTGTTGTTTTTGCTCGGATTCAAATAAATTATTTTTCTTCCCAAAAATGAATCATGCAGACCAAACCATAAGGCCTAGAGTCATGAAACCTGATCAATAGGTAGAAGCCTCACAACTCAGGCACACAAGATGAACCCAACTGGCTTGAAGGGAGAGCTACAGCACAGTGTTTTATAATTTGGCCCATACCTCCTACATTACAAGGCCTACAGACATAATTCTGGGTGCTGCTGATTTTATGGCTCATATTAAACCAAAATCAAAACAGCCATCCTGTAAAAAAGTTAAGATATTTTGCACTTCTTTTTTGCAAAACATACTTTTGTGAATTTCTCAGTCACTGAACAGGTATCAAAATATCTGCAAAAGCGTGAACCTCAATACTTACCAAAAATACTGACATTTGAAAACGACACGGCTACCACACGCCAATCAATACCTCTGGATTAGAGCACTGCATTGTTGACTAAAGCAGCTGTAACTCATAAAGGGTTTGTTTTCTAATGAAGATTCTAATGAAACCTGACAGATTTGTGTGTTAAAAGATTCAGAGGTAGCCTGTTACTTTAGGCACTTGTATATCAACAGTGGGCATTAGAAAAGTTAAGCAACTGCTTCTCAGCATTCACACATCTGATTAAGTTGAGATTTTGCATGCTACATCTTTAAGCTTACTTACAAGTGGTGCTTTAAAGATGACCGGATAGGTAACTGTGGATGCCATTGGTCAATCAGCTTTCAGCAGGCATTAACACTGACCAATCATCATGAAATCTGAATCGTGTGTCTATGTAGGGACTCAACATTATCCTATGAAGTTTTAAAAGAATTGACCACTGGGGTGCCCTACTTAATTTTCCAATTAAGCATGCCTTGTACATCATTTTACTTGAGGACATGAAACTGGATTCAAATAATCCAATTATTAGTGAGCCTAATAACTTTGCAAAAGTGTTCTCATAAAATGTACTGTATTTCTTCTATTGTAAATTGTCTGAAAACAACCCATTTCGAACTAGTCTTAGGATTTTGATCCAATCATCTAAAAAAAAAAAGTCTTGAAATGATCTCTGGTTTCTGTAGCTAAATTATTATCAAGAAAATATTGACTTTTTTGCCCACCATAGTAGCTACATATTAATTAATCATTGTGGCCTTGGTAAATCTGAATTACTAAAACTCTGAAATTACCAATTATCAATAAAGTATGAAAAACTTTTGATAACGTCTTACTCCCTAGCATTTATCCTTTGTCTGCGAAAAGGCCCTCGTTCGGCGTATTAGACTGGATTAATCTGTGTGGTGCTTGGACCCTGCAGATTACCACTTGCTGTAATATTTATTTTGGAAATTGTTAAAATGGGATAAAATATACTTTGTTTTTTTTTGGGGGGGGGCAAGTAAAGCTGGGAAACACTGAAAAATATATGAGCCTGTGTAAAGAAAGCATGGATGTCCCATGCCTCAGATGAACAGCCTATTTTCTCTCTTCCTTTCTTTCAGCAAAATAAAAACAAATTCTCAACTTCTCATTGTTTTACACAGCTCAGAAACATAATGATCTTTTTACATGCTAGACAAACAAGAATTTCCCATTTTCCCAAGACTTTTTATATGAAATGTCTCAACACTTTCATTTTTTCAAACCATGAACAATGATAGTGTGAACAAAGCAGTCAGAGTGTGACTCATTTGCATACTAGCACCTGCACTTACAGCTCTGCCTGAGTATTGACAGTTTTTTTTACAAATGCTTTTTACAACTCTTCACACAGTTGGCATAACAGCGCTCTAAGTGCACCATCTATTAAAGTGTGAGAAAATTCAGGCCACGGTGCAAACAGAACATCAAGTCACAATCAAGCAATTTTACACTGTGTCTTTTGAGAAGAACAATGATTGCAACAAGGAACTGAGGTTTGTCCAATAAAAGCATAGGAGGACTTGGCATGTTTTTGTATGCATTTACTCTACATTATTTAATTTATGCAGATGACGCTGACATCATTCTGGCCAAAATATGTCAAATCTGAAATGGGAAAAGGGTTACAGTGAATGTTCTTCATTAGAGTGGTGACGACAACAATGTGTGTAAAACAACATTACAGATTGTTGTGACATAATTCTCTAATTGTGCCAGATGGTAAAGAGCATCTGACTTAATTCTTGGATAAAGTCCATGGAGGGTTTATGCCTGAGGAGGAAGGGGAGCAGCCAAACATGCATTTGTGATTGCATGGGACAATGTGGCATTTCAGTGTTGATACTATTTGTTTATACAGTGGTACATTACAGTACAGTGAAAAAGTCAGAAGCCACCCTTCATTTTTTTACCATCAAGTACAAGTTATTCTTTTTTCAAGAGATATTTCAGCAGAGATAAGATATAAGATATTCCACTTGCAAAAGGAAGAGGAAAGCTAAAGGAAAATAATTTGAAAAAAAAGCTCTTGCTTCAGATCTGAAAAAAATCCACAGATGTTTCTGTCCATCCTGTGAGAAGACAACTCAATGATATGGGGCTGAAAGGATGTGTAGCTGTCAACAAGCCCTTACTAAGAAAAGAAAATAGACAAAAAAAGGAAAATTGGCAAATCAAATAAGAAGCTGCTGGTGTTCACAGAAAAAACTGACTGACCACCATCAGGGTCCAGACCTCAGTGTTACTGAATGAGTTTGGGACGACTTAGATAAAGAGAGGCAAAAAGAAAATAATTGGAAAAAAACTATATTATATTCAGTGGTTGGGGCTTCTGTGTAATTTTTCTTGTAGCTTTGTTCTGCTTTTTTCTGGCACTGAAAAATGAATATCTTGTACTGGCTGTTTGACTGTAAATTAAAGAAATGAAGCATGGATTTTTGCATAGTACTGTATATACAGTAAAGATATGCCATTCTGTTCTAATAAAAATTCTATACACTGATAACACTTTGAACCATACAACGTTAAAGTAGTTACTTCAAAGATTTACATATAATCTTTATGTAAAGCTAGCTTTGTGTGGTCTAGGACACTGTGCTAAGATTGACATAGTGATCTATTAATAGTTTCGAGAAAAAAAAAAAGAAGAATTGCAACTGCAAACAAAAACTGTAAATAAGGATATATGTAGCTACCATAAGTGTGATTTTTTAAAACCACAGCAGAGCAGACCAAACGTCTAAATGATGTTCCACCAAACCCTTACCAACCCACTACACCCTTACTCACAAAGACTTTATGATGAAAGCAGTTATACGACATTTACTGCTAGTCATATGACTGGCCACATGGCTTGTCATGGCATCTGATTAGGAAGTAACTCAGCATTACAGTCTAAAAATGTCCTCAGGGAAATCTCAGGCAAATAATACCGTAGGACTTACAGAGTCACTTGTAGACAGAAGAGAAATGGCCTTCAGCAGCAGCCATCCTTTGTTGCTGCCAGGTTCTGTGTGCTGAAAAAACTGCTCCAACTCATACCGTGCTTCTTCTATTGCAAACAAATGCAAAAAGATGAAAGCATTTTTACTCTGCCATTTTTTAGAATGAGAGAAAATTATGAGAGAATTTTAATCGTAGTCATATCATGATATTATTCATAATCAAGACAAACATTCAAATAATAACCTTCAAAATTTAAGCTCTTTTCAATCATATGGGTTCAGATACCAAGAACTGTTGTCATGCATACAGTTCAAATTTCAACCTCTTATCTTTAAAAAAGAAGAAGTAGCTCTCTTGCCTATAATGCTTCAACACCCCTGCTCACTTAGTCTTTTCATGAGCTGCTAAAAACAGCCCCAAGCCCACACATGCCTGAATGTGAGCTGACACAGTCCTACACATGCCACCCATGCTTGACCGTCAGTCAATCACGGTTGATCACTCTTAGCTCAGCTGAATGGAGAAGACTGAGTGTACCTGCTGGCCTTTCTGCTACTTTCTGCTGTACATGACACACCAGTGTCTCTCCAACCTGATAGGCCAAAGCCTGCAGGTCCAAGTCCTCAGTGTCGCTGCTGCTTTCAGATACCTTACAGAGAGCACAGACAGGGAAGCTGAACCATCTGTTTGAGGAACCGGTGAAAATACAAGAGGATGCACACTTCCTTTGGCTCTCAAATGAAACATTTTTTTTCCTTTACTGATCTTAAAAAACATACAAACAGTAGTGCCTTCTGTGGATTAGAATGCAGCACTTGGACATGGAACACAATTCTGTTTAGTTGAAAAAGCAAAGGCATCCATGCACACACTGGTTACACTTTCAAAAACGCAGATGGAACGTTTCATTTCTCTATTATGTGACAGCACACACGAGTGACTCCTATCTGCAATTTCACATGACTTTTTCAGAAGATATGTTCTTTAAATGGAGCTTACACTATATGTTGCAGCACACAGTGTTGGTAAATCCCAGTTGGAATGCATGACTGGTAAAATAGTCACATGTGCATTAACCCCCACACTAAGACTTCACGGCACATGTTTCTAGCCCTTGAGCATTTATCAGTGGCCTCACGAGACAAATCATCTCTGGACAGAGGAAATGTAGGCATGTTCACTCTGACTTGGTGTTAGGCGACATTGAGAATGAAACAGTTAATAGTAGGCTTTTAGCTGAGCATGTACAAGTTACATTAGAGGTGGAAATATAATGATATGTTATTGGTATTGTGTTAACATCGCAATATACTTGACAACATACTTCAAGTATATCATAGATATCATTTCAGGTATTTCTAGAACACTGAAACTGAAAAAAAAAAACAATTACAGAGTCTGTAAACAGCATCAAACAGTGTATAATAACTGAATTAAGTAGCTGACTGGATCTCAGCTATTATGCAATTATATTATTTTATTAATTTATACTAATGGACTGTTTGATTTTCCTGCTCTTCCACCTTAACTTTTAAATTCAATATTATATTATATTATATTATTATTATATATGATGATAATAATAATAATAAGAATAATAATAATAAGAAGAAGAATTGTCTTTTATAAATATTATTACTGTTTTGCATTACTGTTTGCTGGTGTATTTTGTCCTTTCTAGCTTGTTCACAAACCTCAGCAAAGCCTAATACTGTCATATACAGTAGAGTGCAAAAGGCACCAAAGCACACTGTTCAAAACTCATTTGTATCAGCAGTAACTGTGCGCTTGTAAAGCACTATATATCATTAGAATAGATGCAAATAAACATAAAAGCAGTAAAAAAGTAACAAGAATTTCTTATTAAAAAAAGAAAAATATATACATACATACATACACACACACACACACACTATATATATGGCTTTTAAATCTAATTTTCTACTAATTTTTACTGCACATCGTTTATTGTGAAAAAGTGTTGTGACATTATATTTTGTCATATCACCCACCATTATGACACACTGATTATTAGGCCTTGTTATTTCCAAAGTTGCACCTTTTCTGAAATGGTAAGATTTTATAAGCTTCCCCTGAAACAGGGCTACAGGGAACTCTCAGTTTCCCAACATCACTACACTTTAAGGGTTTATTTACTTAACTTATTTACTTAACGCTGTGTAATCAGTTCATTTCCTCTATCTCTCAATCACTCACTGTATTTTAACTGTTCTTGTTACCTGAATGAACAGGGGCAGAAGCATGTCGAGCTGCTGCTCTCTGTCTTCTACTGCTGTCTGACTGAGCTGCAGGAGCTGCTGCCTGAGAGCTGCATCTGCGTCAGCATGCGTGTCCTCCACCTCTCTGGCAGGCTCTGCCCCAGCTTTGTCTCTCTTTAGCTCCGTACTCTCTGCAATCTCCCCAGAGGCACTCAGCTCCCCGGTCTCCTTATTGATCCTCTCCATATCTCCACCAGCTTCCTTTAATAATTGGGTCACAGGATTACAAACACACAAACAGCTCTTTATACACAACAGTTAAATCCAGCACACGACTAACTTGCGTATTAGACAGGAGAGAACAACTGCACAGTACAGAAATAAAATAGCAATGAAATAAGTCCAGTTCTTCAAATATAAACCAGTTCCTGTTCAGGGCTTCTATGTTCAGAGTCTCAGAGAATGTATGTGTTACATTTTTCAGTCCATGAACCGCATATTGCAAAGCACTATTACACAACATTGCACTGTAGACAGAACTGTTTGTAATTATCATTTCACAAGACGGCAATTTGCTTTAGGGGTCTGACACTGTCTTCCCACGCACTAAAAAACAAAGGCTTTGGATTTCAATCTAATGTGTACATAATTTCCATAGGAAGTACATCAGTACAGCTGCGTCTTTTATTACACACTTGAAACTTAAGAGTAACTTGGCCAGTTTGCATTTTTTTCAAGTACTTACAGAAAATAAGCCTTTAAATGTAATCAGTTCAGGATTTTCACAGGGCTTTTACAGAATCTTGTGATGTCAAGAGCACGCTTGTTGTGCTAAATGGAGGAAAATTCGCATTCCTAGAAAAAGACCACTGCACATGCTGACCACAACAGCTACATGTAGCCCATAAATGAGATGAATTCCTGCAATTTTAGCTCATCATTAAAAGAACAAAGGCCTGTTTGTTGCACACATCCCTCTCATTTTCATCCAAAAAGGCATATGACTGACAAACGCATTATGTAAAGGAAACTATGTGCTTAAATTCTGTGACAAATAAAATGCTCTATGCCGGAAAATTATTCACTTTTAAAGTCATTTGCTTCCTTGTTTTTGGTTTCTTTGTAAGTGCTTCGCATGTCAGAGCAGAACTGGTAAAGCAGGACACTGTCAAAATAACATACCTCAACATGTCTTCACACTGGGCAATTGTGAAAACACTTGCTGCCCAAAACAGTCCAGCTCAATCCCACATGACAGGCAGTAAGCCTTGTATTACCCTTAGCAACGACACAGAGACACACACACGCGCAGCCAGTTTCACAAGAGTTTCTGTAAAGTGACACTTACCCGCTGTTTGGTGGGAGGCATTAGTATTTGCGCTGAGTTTTGCTGGAGGACAGTCCAGTCCCGGTGAGATGATTTCCCTCTCTTCCCATCTCACAGCGCTCAGTGAGTAGCCAGTTGAGACATGCCTGTTAGGACCTTACCTCTAATCTGCCAGTGACTAAACTGCAGTGGGTGCCTGAACTTTGCTCGAAGAGAAACTCTTACATCAGCTGCACATGGTCATGCGCCTTACTTCCTAGAGAAAAAAAGCAGAAGTGAAGGACTTTATTTTCTGCCACTGCCTCAATACATCTCAGCTCAAGAGCTCATTCTATTGTAAAAATGAAATTTTGTGATACCAAATAAAATTAGTCACCAGACGATAAGCATACAGAATTATCTGAGCTCTCATAGAGAAGTAAATAAAAAAAAATCCAAACACTGTCCTATTAAAATTAATCTGTTTAATGTATGACTGGTCTGTTTTAGGGGAATTCTCAGAAATCCGTACACAACTAATAACACAACCTTGGCAACACTGAAAGATGTTTAAACAACCAATAATCCATCATCGTTTGAGCAGTGGTGACATCGTGTGGCTCGTAGAGAAAATGACTAGGGCCAAATAATTCCCTAAAACACAACTACTACTATCACTGCTAGAGAGGGCGAATTTTCAGACAGCTGTTCTTACCACTATTCCTCCTTCTCCTCCTACTACTACTAATTTTCAATAGTTCAATATTGAAATATATATGACGATGCATAAATAATATCTAGTGCTGGTTTGCAGTTATAGTGTTACCAGTTCCTGACCTAAAGCTGCAGCAGGTTCACGTAAAAATGATATTTCAGCTGCGTTCACAGTCTACGGCTGAAACTGGCTGCCTTCCAGGCTCCTTCCAGGCAGGCAGATGACTGGTGTTTGTGGCGTGTTGTGTGGTATGTCGGTGTGACAATAACTGAGTCGGCTCTTCAGCACACATCACACCACAGTGCTGAATTCTGCTTCGTCCAGTTCGCTACAACACGGGAGCACAATGATAGCAGCCTAAATGATACCTTAGTTTATTTCTGACCTGCCAAAGAACAATTTCTTTATTCAGTTAAATAATTTAACCTAACTCATTGCAATGTGCTGGCTGGTCCCACATTATAAGTCTAGCATTTTTGTTTATAGGCCTAGGTCAGGGATTCGATCCCAAAAAGAATCGATTCCTCGATACCTGGCATTCAAGAATCGAGAGTCGACTCTTCAAAACTTTAGACTCGATTCCACACTGACAGATATTCTGTTGTCATTGTCTAGACACTTTACATGAAAAATATATCATTCCACAACACACATCGTTAGTCAAGTTGTGTTTTACTTTAGACAAAGTAGGAAACAAAGTCAAACGTAAAATTTATAAAGAAAAATGTACAGTCAAATGATATTGCCAGTTCCAAAACGCCCACCTGAAGAAGTTGACGGAAGAGAAGCAGGTATGTTGGCTAGCCAGCCCCCGCCAGTTAATTTAGCTAATGTAGCGTTAGCTCTCCAAATTTCCTTGCTAAGGTCAAATATTATTATTGGGGTACTCTTTTTTGTTGCCTCATGTCCATCTGTGAGTCCAAATTACATCGTGGAATCGACACTTGTATGCACCACTATTTCCCATTACTTTGAAGCGGAATCGGAGTAGACTCCAACATTTCTAGAATCGAACAGCCCGTATGAGCCAGGACAATTTACTAGACTAGGTCTCAAAATGCATGAGAAACTATATACAGTTAGCCTAGTTTATGTGTTTTTGGTGGCTACTGTTGTTGCAGTCAAACAGAATTAACCAGACTTGTCCAGTGGAAATCAATGGCTTGTTTCGACAGAGGACTCGAGTAAAAATCGAAGATCCAAGAATAAACACGAAAAGCTGACAATAAATCCGTGCATCCGCGTGTATCCACAATTTCTGATTACACAAAGTTTCAGATTTCGGAGGTACTTTATGTAAGTATATGTGTTCAGGAATTCACTATTTTAAATGGTCAATCGTAAAAGATTTATTTTATAAATATTGTTTCTACCTATTTTGTAGAAGTGCTTTTAAATATCGGCTCGTATTTTGAAGTTCAAAATAGTTTGCCCACAGTCACGTGTGTACATGAGACCAATCAAAATATGGGGGCGGGGTTTTATCAAATCAGTTCTGTTGATTTGTGCGCTTCGCAGCGCCGTCGCTTGTAACTGTCCTGTTCCGGTTTTGCTTGGATAAAATGTCAGCCGCTTTTAACTGAGCTGAGGAATGAAATGAGATATTTTTTTTAATGAAAATGTGCATTTTATGTTACTACTGAGCTCATTGCAGGCGCGGGCGGTGATGCTCCACAATGTCTCTGAGCGCAGTTACTGAAGGAAATGGGGTATTTGAGGCTGTTCAGAGAGGAGCCATCGAACAGGTCGCTCAGCTAATTCAGCACGACCAGACAGTCTTACAACAGAAAGGTAAGCCCTGTAGAAGTCTGCGCCTGTCTTAACTGGCTGTGGGAAAAGAGAGACAATCTGTCTTATGAGCTGCAGACAAAATAAGATCCAACTGTGTTCAGCTACAATAGCTACAATTCACTCTCATGTTCCTGACGGTGCGGAATTGTCAAGTAGAGCTGTCAGTGGTGTTGTTTTTTCCATTGTTTCACCTGGCTATCGTTTTCGTTATTAACTATTCATTGACTCTAACAATTAAGTCCAACCTGTTCCTACCTGCTTTGTTAGCTTTCACAGATTCACAGTCTTTGCTTTTTTTAGGACAGTGTGGGCCGCAAGTCATCAGATTTATTAGTTCTAGGTAGTTGTGCAGATGTCTTACAACAAGGACAGAGTAGTATAAAAAAGCGCTCTATTGATAATTAGCCAACATATAGAGGAATTGTTCACCAAAAAACAAATTTACACATGTTAACTCCATACATAGTTGATCGGCCAGGATATATTTGTTGTCTGAAGTTTGTTTAATCAGTTTTAAACTGGAACTATGATGCTAATATAATAGGAGAAGAAAGAGTTTGGATGACAGACTTTAATTACATTTCCAATACATTAGCTTCTTTATTTTAGGGAAAAATAAAGAAGCAAACATCAGACAACAAACATGTCTTGGCTGTCAGTGTTTGGGGTAAAGGGTCACTGTGTAAATGAGGTTTTTCAGTGAAATGTTAATTTAATTACTTAAGCAATATTCTACTACAGTATTTTTTGCCAGTATTTGGGATAAAACCACACATAATCCATATTTTGGAATCTGTAAGTTCTGATAAAACTGTCTTTTCTCTTTTCTCAGGCTGGGGTGGTTTTACTGCCCTTCATTTTGCTGCCCTGCATGGAAACCGGCCAATAGCTGAACTCCTCTTAAGTAGCGGAGCTGATCCTAATGTACCTTGCGATGCAGGCCAAACCCCTTTTCACTTTGCCTGCAGGTACAGTGAATCTTCCTGACAGATGTCCTTTTCATATCCATTTGACCATCCATGTGACAGAATGCATCACTGTCCGCAATTTTCTGTGCTCAGTTGTCTAGCAGCTGCTCTAGGATACAACATAAAACAACCTTGCATGAATAAATTAACATCCATTTTATGACTTTTCTGTAACAGACATGGCAACATCAGCATCATGCATAAAATGATGCAGCATGGTGCAGATTTACGCATTGTGGATCAGCAGGGAAAAACATCACTACATCATGCAGTTAGTGGGGGAAGCATGTGAGTAACTGAATACTCTGTTTAATCTGTAGATGCATGAGCTGCGGTTTTATTTTACACTTTTTTTAATTAAGTATTCATAATCAGCGATGGTTTCTCTAAGTTAGGAGCTCATTGCTAACATAGCACTTTAAAGTTAATAGGATAATTAGTCAAAGTGAACATTCAAAAATATATTTACAAAAAAGTTTAAAAGTCATGCTCATGACTTTTCTGTGGTGATGTAAATATTCTGTGCAGTGCTGCTGCCGTTTAGGACTAAGAGTGAACACTCATCACACATTGTATAGAACTGATCTTCCTCTTTCTTATTGTGTGATGGTCAGTGTTGCCATGCAGTACCTCTGGGAGACTACCATGTTCCGATTCTCAGATGGTGATAACTCCCTGATCACTCCTCTGCACATGGCAGCTTCCACAGGGAATACTGATGTGGTCAGGTACCTTCTACGTAACAACGTAAGCTATTTCACTTGTAACACATGCTGCTTTCTAATGCACACTTTGAGAAAATCAGAAATACAGTGCTGTAAAAAAATTTTTGCTCCAAACCCGATTTCTTCTCTTTTTGCTAACTTGTCACGTTTAAATGTTTCAGTTCTTCCGATTACTTTTCATGTAAGATAAAGTCAGCCTTTAAATGATCATTCCATTTATTGAAGATAAAGGTTCATTCAAAATCTATATCATTCATGTGAAAAAGTAATTGCCCCCCTAAACTTAATAACAGTTAGTGCCACCCTTGGTAATAACAACTGCAGTCAAACATTTGCAATAACTTATGATGAGTCTTTTATATCGCTTTGGAGGAATTTGTCTCACTCTTCTTTGCAGAACTGTATTATTTTGGCTACATTGGACAGTTTTCAAGCATGAACTGCACATTTAAAGTCTTGCAACAGCATCTCAATGGGATTCAAGCCAGGGCTTTGATATGGCCTTTCCAAAACCTTAATTTAGATTTTTTTCGAGCCATTCAGAGGTGGACTTGCTTGTGCGCTTCGGATTATTGTCCTGGTGCATAACTGTAATTCAGCTTTAGGTCACAAACTGATAGGCGGAAATTCTCCTTCAGGATTTTCTGATACAGAGCAGAATTCATGGTTCCATCAATTATGACAAGTCGTGCAGGTCGTGCAGAAACAAAGCAACCCCAGAGCATCACACTACCACCACCATGCTTGACTGTTGCTATGACGCTCTTCTCAAATGCAAGACAAGGCTTTGTGTTCTTTTTGGTCAGCAGTGGTTTACACCTTGCAACTTTCCCATGGACGCCACTTTTGCCAAGGTTCTTACTTATTGTGGAATCGTGTGCATTGACCTTGAGGCAAGTGTGGCCTGCAGCTCTTTAGATGTTTGTCTGGGTTCTTTTGTGACCTCCTGTGTTGTCAATGCACTTTTGGTGAAATCTTGGTTGGCTGGCCACTCCTTGGAAGGTTCACCACTGTTCCAAGTTTTATCCATTTGTGGATAGTGGCTCTCACTCTGGAGTCTCAGAGCCTTAGCAATGGCTTTGTAACCCTTTCCAGACTGGTAGATTTCAATGACTCTGTTTCACATCTGTATTTGAATTTGTTTAAAATGTGGCATCATGAGCTGCTTTTTGAGACTTTCTAGCCTGCTTCACATTACCAGACAGGTTTTATGTAAGTGATGTTTAGATTCAACAGGTCTGGCAGTAATCATGCCTGGGTGTGTCTAGTAAAACTGAACCCAGTAGTCAGTTGAATTTGGTTAACTGGTTGATTTAGTAGCTGAGGGGGCAGTTACTTTTTCACATAGGGCCAGGTAGGGCTGAACAGTATTTTTTCTTCAATAGTTGAAATTGTCATTTAAAAACAGCATTTTGTGTATACTTTGGTTATCTTTGTTTTATATTAAAAGTAGTTTGACGATCTGATCACTCAAATGTGACAAATATATGTGGCAAAAATAGAAGAAACTGGGAAGGGGGCAAATATTTTTTCATGGCACTGTATATTGTATTCCTATTCCCATTCATGAAACCACAACCAGTAGTCCTTGGACTGGGTCACTGGTCAGCAGTCATTCAAAGAGAGTTGCAGGATGACCTAAAAGTAGCAGGAACATGGTAAACAATAAGTAATGAACTGCATCACAGTCATCAGCATCAGTTCCTTTCAGAGGAAACACGAATTCAAATGAAAAATTAATGGAGTGATGTTCCAGGACACATTAGAGGAGAATGTAATCTCATTGGCCACGAAATTGAATCTGGGAAGAGATGGACGTTTCAACAAGACAACAACCCAAAAATAGAAGAACCCAAGAGTACCTAAAAAAGAGTGAGAAGTTGCTTGAACGGACTAGCCGATCCCTTGATTTGAATCCCTTTAAAATATCTGAGTACAAAGTCAAAAGACATTTGAAGTGGATATGTGAATTGCAAGTATATTAAATAACCCAAATGGAAGTGACTGAATACTTCATCTCCTTTTATTTACAACCCTATTTCCAAAATTTTGCTGTGCAAAATGTAAATAAAAACAGAATGGAATGATATGCAAATCCTTTAAACTATATTTAATTGAAAATGGTACAAAGACTATGTCATATGTTGAAACTGAGAAATGGTGTTTTAAATATATGCCCATTTTGAATTTGAAGCCAGCAATCTGTTTTAAAAAAGTTGGGACCGGGGCATGTTTACCGCTGTGTCGCATCACCTCTTTAACTGTACCCTGTAAGCGTTTGGGAACTGAGGAGTCCAGTTGCTGTAGCGTTGAAAGTGAAATGTTTTCACTTTCTTGCTTGATATAGGATTTCTGCAGCTCAACAGTTCAGGGACTCCTTTATCGTATTTTTCGTTTCATAATTCGCCAAATGTTTTCAGTGGGTGACCGATCTGGACTGCAGGCAGGCTGTAGAATTTTTAGACCCCTCTTTCTGTAGAATCAGGACCAGGAGGCCAGCCAGATCCTTCACTATGGAGCCATGCTGTTGTAATATGTGCAGAACGTGGTTTTACATTATCTTGCTGAAATAAGCAAGGCCTTCCCTGAAAAAGACATCATCTGGATGGCATCATGTGTTGCTCCAAAACCTGTACATATCGTTCAGCATTAATGGTGCCTTCACAAATGTGCAAGTCACCCATGCCATGTGCACTAATGCACCCATATACCATCCCGGATGCTGGATTTTGAACTGTCCACTGATAACAAATGAGATGGTCCCTCTCCCCTTTAACCTGGAGGGTGCAGTATTATGTACCACAGATGACAGAAATCTCCAAGTGGCTATGATGGAGCTCTTGCCATTCAAGTGCTTTCACAGTTTCAATCTGAACATTTTGTAAGTTACTCTGGGTAAGTGTCTGCTAAATGAATATAGGGAGATATCTAACGTCTAATGATTATGACATGGCAGTA